TTTTTGAATCACTTTGGCATCGTCTTACCTCTAATAGCATTCTTGAATCTCTGGTATTTTACCACCAACAGTAGCATTCTTTTACATTAAGCCTCTTTAGTATTTCCTTTCTTTTCTTTGAATTTCTTTGTTTGAATTTTCACAGCACAATTTTATTTCCCATTAATATATACTTTTTTTCTCTATACATATAGTTTTTTTTTGTCTAAATTTCGCAACATATTCTTCCCATCTATGTTTTTCAGCACGTTCAATTTCCAATAATTTCTTTAAATATAATTTTTTTTTTGTGCTTATAGATCAATCGATAGGTTATGCACCTCACCTGTGATCTGAGGCAAGCGTTAGTCTAAGGCACAACATATATATTTAAAAAAAAATTTGATCGAATTTTGATTATCACAAAATTCTGCGACTTTTGTGATATTTTGTGAACCACAATATATCATCATCTCTCTGGGGTAGTTTGACAGTAGGGTGTCCAGGATTATGCAATTACATAATATACGCATAATTTACTATTTTTTTACATCTACGAATGCTCCGCATAATCAAGCAAAAAAAAACATCCTGGTCATGTGGCTCAAACATGATTGGTAGATCTGATATTATAAATATGACAATGAGAACAACAATATCAATAAAAGCGATTGTTCTTGGATATCCAAGATTTTAATAAAGAAAAAAATTTTTTTTTTTTTTTTTTTTATAAAACGGTTATAAATGTTTGTTTCCATTCTGGCTTGTTAATAAAAAAAAGCTAGACGTTCAATTAAGAAAACGTAAAGCAATATGGTTACAGCCACAGAATGGCTTTATAGAAATCCCTCGTATAAAGATAACTTTTATGCAGACAGAGGGAAACTGTTTTGTCAGTTTTGTCAAATCACTGTGAATCATGAAAAAAAATCTGTAATAGATAAACATTTGAAATCATCTACCCATGAATCAAAAAAAAACTCTGCACTTAAGAAACCTCAAAAAACTCCTATTCAACATGCAATTACCACTTTTAATAAGCCTTATGATGAAAAAGAACAATTTGTTCTTAATTTTATTAAAATATTAGCTGAGGCTGATATACCTTTTGAAAAAATTCAATACTTTTAACCTTTTT